TTTGATGAGCAAAACACTGTGGTGAGCATTTGACGAGCACACAAACTGATTATGAGCAGGAGAGGATGGATTTTATGATAGGTTTTCATTTACATGCCATCAATCCCTCAGCTTTCCTGTCTCCCTCCAAAGCATTGGAAACTATTTACCTCAGAGGACTCACCAGACCAAGTCTGTGCACTGTAATGTCCTCCTGGCACTGTCAGGTTTGGGACTGTTATCTGTAAAACCCAAAGGCTTTGCTGGGGCTGGACCAGTAAAAGCAGCCATCAGAGCTGATGATGGAGATGGGAGTGGATGTATGTGTGCCCTGTCCTGCCTGCAAACATTTCCAGAAGCAGCATGAGCCCAGGCCTGTGCCTGTGGAGGAGGGCTCCTGCAGGGTTAGGAGATCGCTGCAGCATCCTCTGCAGCTCCTAGTCGCCTGGGAAAGAAAACTTACACTTGTATCCCTTGCCAGTGACTCTTCCCTCACTGTCCTGAGGGTGGCTGCTCTGGACTGTCCTGGCATCTCTGGAACTTGCAGAGTCCTTTGGGGATGGTCACAATGGTGCTGACTGCTTTCAGAAGGGGCTGGGGAGGGTAAGGAGGGCAGTGCACACAGCCACCACAGTGATGCAGCTCTCGCAGAGACCAGCCCTACCTGCAGAGCAGGGAGGAAAAGGAGGATTAGGTGAGCCACAGGAAGCCTGGGGGCCGGTCCTATGTCAGCTGAATCTCTGGGTTTCCTCCAGATTGGCCAGGCAGCTGTGTCAGTGCCCAAGCCCCAGGGCTCTGGCACTTGCTGTGGGTTGTGAGGGTACCGGGTCCCTGGCTGTCCCATTGCTTGTTTCAAGAGATATGTGCTGAGTTAGTGGTCACAGGTCTGTGGGGTTTGACTGTTTTTAATTAGCTAATGCTAACTGACTTGTCTTCTGATGTCAGGAGCTTTTGTCATGATAAGGGAGCAAAACCACAGGTTCCTCAGAAACGGTGAATACATACGGAGTGAGTCACTGCTCCAGACTAAGTCTGGCTCACTTGTGTTGGATTTTTTTTTCTTTAAATCGGGTGGAAATAGGACATACTAATACCTTTTTGCTGACACTTTAATGTGTCTCTGCATTGGCCTGTTTGAGTAAACAAGTTGATATTGCTAATCAGTCATTGTAGAGATATTAGAGGCAGGCCTGGAAGGGATGAAGCGCTCAGTTTTCAGAGTAACACAGAGCTGCTAAGAAAGTAAATTCTTCCATTTGGATCAGCAGCAAATTCCAGCTCTGTTTCTGTTGGAAGTGTTCAAGTGGCTGTTAGGAAATATTTGGTTGTCATGTGCTTTCAAATTTGAATTAATCTGCCAACTTTCAAGACATACAAATATCTGAATATCCCCCCTTCATCAGTTTTCTACCAATCCTCTGTGTAGGATGCAGCTTCCAGGGCTTCCCCTCTTGGGGAAGAGTCTTGAGAACATTTTTCTCTGTGCTTGAGTGTTTTTAAGTTGCTGTCTGAGCAGTTAATCCACCCAAATATCCTGGTTAGCTTCTGGCACTTGTGCTGGAAGTGCTGAGTGCTCAGCAGAGGCATCCCTCCAGTGACAGCCCCTGCAGTGGCCTGTCCCCAGGTGGCTCACAGCTGTCAAAACACACAAAGCTGGGACAGCTTTCCTTGACCTGCCCTTATTGCAGTTCTGCAAATAAACTAACCCAAATTCGGTGACTGCAGTGTGTTTAGAACCTGTAAAATTTGTTTGCACAGGAACTTTATCCAGCCTGGTACTCCAAAACCTGACGTGTACTTACAGCAGCTCTGATCTGTATCACAGGTAACCTTCAGAGGGCAGGAACAGGCTGCACCATCCTCTGGGTAGGTCGGTGCCTTTGTGCATCCACGTGTTACAGAGCTGCCCGTGCTTTTCTTCTGTGTGGCGAGGATAAAGGCAGGATGAGGGCTCTGGAGCAGTGATTGCTTCCTTGTACACTTTGTTTATCTGTGCATTGATCAATGGACTGTCAGCCACCAGATTAAAACTTTTCTTTTGTTCTCTCTTCATCCCTTTGAAATGGATATTTAAATGTGAGTTCCTCTCTCTGCCTGTCATGTGCTGGCTGGAGCTTTCTTGCAGCAGGAGTGCGTGTGACATGGTCAGGCATGAGCAGCGTGCTGTGTCCCCACAGGGCTTCCAGTGAGGCAGCTGATGTGTGATCCCTGTGCCAGGGTGATAAAAGGCCCTTTTATGTCCCACAAGACAAAGCCTCTTGTTTAAAAATGCAACTGAATGAAAAACACGATTCTGAATGCCCTAGACTCAGCTATTAAAAACAAACAAACATAAAAACCCCCACACAACAAGAAAAAGGAAAGGTCCCCTGCCCCCCAGCCCAGTATCCCAATGATGGTGTAATACCTCTTCATTGCAGAAAAGCTCTGTACAATTGCTTTGGAGCTTGTAACTTTGTGGCCCACTAACCTTTCCATACACCCTTTCCCCTTCACACACAGCCCTGACGAGGTCAGGTGTCTGTTTTTTCTCTGTTGGTTTGAATTCTCCTTCCCTCCTCTCAAGCAGAGAAACAGAAGGAAGAGTGATACTATAAAAACTGAGAGGGAAAACTGTTTTATGGAATGAGCTGAACAGTCTAGGTACTAGAAGGAAAGATTTTTTTTTCAAGTCAAGACCCATACAATCAACTGTAGGGCATATCCAGAGCATAATATTTCCCTGATAAAGTCAACCAGAGCAGCATTTTTAAAAGCTCTTGGCTTATGGTGGTGTGTGCTGCTTCTTTTGGTGTTAAAGATGTTAGAGATAGTCAGCAGTGAATTAAATTCCAATTAAGTAGTTAGGCAATGATGCTTTGGGAAATCCCTTTTTAAGGGAAATCCATGGTTTAAAAACAAATTGGTGCAAATGAGAATTAGGAAGAAGGCAGAACTTGTAGAGGAGCTTTGGCTGAATTTTCAGTCTGTAGCTTAGACTCTCCTGCCTGGCAGCTCATGCCACCTGCCTGCATATCCAGATCTGGCTCTGTTCTTGGTAACATTCTCCCAAGTGTTTTTGCCAGTTGTGAAATCCATCTCCTGCATCATGCAACAAGCTTGCTCAGAGCTGATCTTCTTGCTAAGCAACTCCTTTATCCCCTGGAAATAGTCAGGTTCTGGTGGCACTGAGGCTCAGCTGAGGTGCCCATGGAGTGCTACAGGGAAGGGGCTGCTCCAGGATTGGAGATAAATCCCAGATTGGACATCAAGCAAGACAGTCAGTGCTGCACACAGCATTCCTGCATCTTACAGGGACCTGCATGGTAGCATTGCCTTGGTCAATTAGCCTGACTTGTGATCTGTGAAACAGTAAAAAATTTACTTTTATAAAAAATTATTTTTTTACCTCTGTCAGTCTGATGCACCTTTGCTGTGATTCCTCCCCCTGCCCCATTTTTTCAACTTGAAAATGAAGTTTGTTGTCTTGCTGGTGGTGGCTTTTACTGACTGTTCAACATCTTGCTGTGTCTGCTAATGCTGGCAGGTGGGGTCTGAAGTGCTTTCCTTCATGTCTTTGCAGTGATGCAACTTCTTGTTGGCTTTCTCTGCTGCGAGCACCTGTCTGAGCTGCTTTCCCAGGCTGCCACACCTGCCCATTGCTCTCATCTCTAACAACTTCATTCTTTCCAGACTGAGTGAAGTGTTACAGAAAATGAATATTTACACCTACAGGCAAACCTGTGTTCTTAAGTTAAGGGGTGCTTGTGAAGGCAGCTGGGAGTCTCAGACAAAAGAGGGTTGCTAATCAGAGCACAAGGATTTGTTAAACTGAGTCTCCTGTTGCTTGAGCCTTGAGCCAGAGCCAGCCTGTTCAGGATCCTGCCTTCTGACAGTCTGTAAACCTCAATCCACCCTTCATCCTTTTGCTTACAAAGGAGGAGGCAGCTGTGTCTGTTCCCATAGGCAGAGGAGGAACCTTTTATTTCTCAACTTCAGGATTGTAGTGAACAATGTGGGAGCTGGAAAATCTTGGGATGTAAATCTCATCTGAAGTCACACCAAGCCTGCCTAAATCCCCATTACAGACCCTGAGCTAGAGCTAGCAGTGGTGTTAGAATGTGCTTATCAGTGCCTGTGTTTCTGTTCCTTGTTGCATCAATCGCTGCTCTCTCATGGTCCTGTCAGCCAGAGTGCCACCAGGGCATCTGATGCCCTGTCACGAATGTCTGGGATGGGGATGTGTGTAGGTGTCTGACTTTCTTCCATCCCTGTGGTGATGCCTCCTGTTCAGGCTGGCTGGGTGGCACCTAATCAACACTTGGAAAGGAGGATGATGGCAGATGGGTGAGGAACTCTGTGCTTCGTCCTCTCTGTTTCTTAAACACCAAGCAGATCTGATCCAAGTGGAGTTTCTGTGAACTCGGGGTTTCACTGTTTCTCATGCCTGCTGTTCTGTGCTTGCGTATGGTTTTTGCCATTCAGGAGAACGGTGGCCATGCAAACAGCCTGTTCCTTGCGGTTTTTTGGGAGTCTGACTCTGGTGAAACAAGCAGGTGTTGATTCCAACAGCTTTCTTGCAGAAGAGCAAACTATTTCCTTTTTGCAAACAGTACCAAGTATATTACTTTGTGCCGAAAGACCCTCTTCGCATGCTGTTCAGAACCTTTTATTTGGGTTTGCTAGCTGTGTGCTCTCCATTAACATTTGAACTCTGGATTCTGATTTTGTTCAAAGTTATGGGAAATGTCTGGAGATGTGAGTTCTGACCTACAGAATACACTGACAGCAGGTAGCTTAATATGCGCAGAACAGCATAGTCATAAAATAATATACAGAGCTAAATATTAACAAGCCTGATGGGTGTTTTAACTGGTTAGAGAGTATATTTCCCATCTCTGAGTTTGACACATCTGTTTTCTTAGTGGAAAGATAAACGTGGTTCCGGGAGCTGTGGTACTGATTGTTGCTGCGCTGCTGTTTGAAACTGCGTGGTGTTGAATGCAGTCTGGTTTCACACAGTGTCCTTTTTCTCTCTTTAGGTACTCCCTTAATTCATGAGATGGCCAACACCATGCAAATCTCCAAAGATGAGCTGGAGGAACTCAAGGAGGCTTTTGCTAAAGTTGGTAAGTCACACTGAGGAGGGCACCTCACTCCAGTCTGCTACACATTTGAGCTGGATTTGTCCCACCCCTGTGATGAGCAGCAGTGCCAGCAGGATTCTGCTGCTCTCATGATTGTCTCTGTGCCAAGGAGTCCCTTGGCAGCTTTGTTGCTTCTGGCTTGTCACTTTGGCCAAGGAGCACAAAGGCAGGGACATGGGCAGTCTGGCTATCAGGGAGCACTGGCAGACAGCCTTGCACTCTTGCTCCAGGGTGGGCTTTGTTGCTTTCTGATGGCAGAAGAAATATCCAAACAGATACTGCATTACTTGGGCCTTGGCAGCACTTCAGGGCTTGCACAGTGCTTGGTTCTGGTGGTGTTTGGCAGATTGACTGAGCCATGTGCATGGGCAGTGTAGGTGCTGCATTTCTGGTGTGTGCTGGGTGCATTTTGGGGCTTGTAAGCAAAACTGAATTTGTTTACCTGGCCGTCATGGAGCAAATTGTGCTGATGATCAATGCCTTGTGCTGAGCACACCTCCATTGCCCTCTGGTGGCTCCATCTCTGCTGACCTCCCTCAGCCTGCCGTGCTCCAGGGGCTGCACAGCCTCTTCCAGAGGCTGCTCTGCCTGCCTCCCAGCTTTTCCCCTGCATTGGCATTGCAGAAACCTCTGGCAGGCTGCTTCAGGAAGCTGAAATGGGCAAAAAACTGACATAATGGAAAAAAATGTGGGTTTTTTTGTTGGTTTAGTTTCTTGATAGGCTTACTGAAGGATCAGAGACCCAGCAGGGAGGGGTGGGATGGGCGCTGGAGCTCAGCCCTGGGGAGTGAGGTCAGTGTGTGCAGCTGGGGAGCCACACCCGCGGCTGGCACTGGCCAGGATTGAGTTGCACAAGTGGTGAAAGCCAGCATTTTGTTTTCCTAACTGGACATGGGCATCACTTGAGCACTGGTTATATATCCAAAATCATAGTTGCTTCTTATCTGTATGGGCTGTTACCACCCTCTAGAGCAGAGTGGCTGTGAAAACTCTCACTTGCTCAGAATTTCAGAGGCAACTGATTCTCATGGAGCAGTATTTCCTGTTGAAACTTGAAGCAAGCTGCATTTTAAGGGGTTCCCTCTCCTCTATTGCTCTTCTCAAGACTTTTGCAGCAGGTAGAAGTGAGCTGGCACAGAGGGAGATGTTCCTTGGGAGGAAGCATAGTGTTTCTCTCTGTCTAATGTGCTTCTAAGTGCAGATCTCAATAAGGCTGGGATGCAGGCAGCCTGTTCTGACCTTGGATGCATTTAAAATTATTTATCTCTCTGGAATGTGGTGGGTTTTTATCATTAGTGTGGGGGAAATTATCAAGATTAGGTTGGAAATATGGAGAAATGCAAGTCAAATCCTGGTTTCTTGTATGAAACCAGCTCACCCTGCTTAGGAAGTGGGTCCCTGTTTGGTTTTAAATTGTAAAGACAGTGTCAGAACTTAAATATTAATGAGGAATGTGCTAATTATCCTGGACATACCCACAAATGAGATAGGATCTGCTAGTTCTTTTCAACTACCTTGTTTTGTGTGCTTTGGGCATGGTAGAGCCCGCAAGCATGTGGGACACACCTGTCAGGAGTGTCTTTAATGCTCTCATTCCCTTTATTCTTGCCTAAAGGAGCTATGTTTGCCCTGGGATATAGAGCTGCTCACTGGCTGGGTGACTGGTTTTCACTGTGAACTTCTAGTAGCATCTTCAGTGAATGTGAACAGAAGTTGGACTAAGACTGCTATGTAAATTGAAGCTATCTGGAAGATTTAGAATGCAGCTGAGAAGCATGGTTAGAGCAAAACTCAACTGGTTGGCTTCTAGGATGTAATGAAGGAGATGTGGGGAGAAGGAAACGGTTCATAGGGTGATTTCTGCTCATCAAGATGTGCCCTGCTCCAAAATGCACAGCTGGTTGGGCTTCCTGGAGACCTGCTTTAACTCCAGCATGGGGCAGGTTGCTGCTCTGGATGGGTAGGTTGATGGGACTTTAAAGGTGTGTGTTTGACCAGCTTTTCTGTCTGCAGCTGGACTGGATTGGGACATGTGGGGATGCTGGAAGGCAGTGAGGTGTGTAACTATGTGCTCTGTCACCACTTGCCTTCCATGCCACTTGAAGGTATTTGCTCTCTCCCATGCAGCTGATGTGCTATTCTCTGACAGGCAGCAAAAGGCATGAGTCCATAGACATCCTACTGCTTATTAAAACAATCCTCAGGTGAGAAACCACTGTCTAAGGTTATCACTAAAGCCAGCTATAGCACAGACAAGCAGCTCCCACCTTCCTACAGGCAGTTATTGGAACTGATCCAGGTGGTAAAGAGCAGTGGGGGGAAAAAAGCATTATAATGTTTGAAAACAGTAATTAGTGGGGCATTGGAATTATGAATAGGCTTTGAGTGACCCACAGGTTAGTGGGAGAAGAGCAGGTTGCTCCAGATCTCATTGGATCTCTGAATTTGTTTTGTGGAACAGGTGCCTGTTTGTTTGTACTTGGCTAAACCAGGGACACTTCAGAGGGGAGGCATGGCAGAACAAAATCTGCTCTGTTTATTTGTCTTCATTCTCCCTCCTTCTAAGATAAGCAGAGATAAGCATCTTTTCTGGAAACATGAAGTACTCAAAAATCATAACTCAGCTGAACACTTTGTTCAGTGCTGCAAGGTGGTAAAACAATGCTCCGAAATGTTGGCTTAGGGCAAACGGGGATCTGTGATCCTGCTAGTGTGTCCTGCTGAGCATATGTCCTTAAAAGGAAACGTGTGGGTTACTTTCCCCTCTTGCATCCTGTTATTTAAGCTATTTTAAGTACTGTCCTCGGGAAGAAGCTGAGCCAGAGCTTGAAGCAGCTTTTGGGATTCGCTGCGGCTTTGCTGCACCACCTGCGTATGGCAGAGCTGCTGCCGTGACCTTTCCCAGGTTCAGCATGCTGGCATGCATGCATCTTTCAGTAGAAATAGGAAACTTCAGATGTGCTGTAGTTTCCTTTCCATCAGGCAGACTATAATGAATCCAGGCTGTAGCTTGTCTGTTAAAACAATTTCGCTTTCTTCCATTAGTAATTCTGGGCAGGCCGCCGAACGATTTCATTTGGGAAAGCTTCTATTTTGACAGCCTCTTCAGCTGTTGAATACCATCTCAGATTTTGTTAGAGTTCTCTCTGAAGTCAGGGCCTGTTGCAGGACATACAGCAAAGCAGTGTATGGTGGGCCTGCAGTGATACTGGAAATAGTTTTGGAGCTGGCAGATACTGCAGAGGTGGAGTTTTTTGGTGATTTTTTTTTTAATGCTGCTTCTTTGTACATTTGATGCCAGTAGGGAGGTAAGCAGCTGCCCTGTGGTATAGGGGTCTCAGGCCTATTTGTCATGTCAGGCTTGTTGACATGTTAAGAACAGATCCATTTTCCATCTCATAGTCAATCACTGGTTGACTCTGCTACCAAGCCAGAACCACAGGCCAGCACCACTTTATGGTAAAACCAGCAGGTTTTAACACTTGAATCTGCCCTTCCGTGGCCAAGAAGCTAAGACTTGAAATGAGAGCATCTTCAGTGCAAAACCAGTAACTTGGTGTGTGGTCTTACAGTTAAACTAACAGACCTGATTTACTTGTAATTCCCACTCCTGAGTGTCTGGCACATAAATGCCCTTTTACTCTGTGAAGTAAATTGGTGATTAATTTTTTTCCCCAGAATACTATGGAAGAGTAACTTTTACATGTGGGTGTTTGGGATATTTTTAAGAAGTTCAAGAGTTTAAGTCCCGAGTCCTGAGAATCATAGGTTTTGAATAAATTAAGGTGTCCTTCATACTTGATTTTGTGCTGTTGTCTGAAAGGCTAATGCAGCCTTTCCTGATGGACAAAATCTTTGTGCCATGCTCCTGATTTATGTGAGCTCCCATGTGAGTGTGCATTTCAGATGGCTCTTTGTGTGGCAGAGCTATTTTGTATGTTTTTTTAGTGAGCAAAGGTAAATCTTTGAACTAAGCCCACCTGGAGGACTGGAGAGGTGCTGATTGCAGGAGTGAATAAAACCATCAAACTGGGCAGATGCTGATCCAGCTTGGAGTAAATTCCTCATACCTGCCCTGCAGGGCTTCGTGTGTAGAACCAACCTCCAAATAGGTTTCAGCATCCTTTTATCCATGTGTCCCTTATTGGAGTTGCAGACTCTGGAGCTCAGTTTCCTGATGTCTCACCTAGGAGGCTTCTGCCTCATGAAATACCATATCAGGTTTTATCCCTTTCACATCTGAATAGGCTCAGACATTGCTCATGCAAGCCTGAATCAGAAACACTTCTGATGCTTAACCTGGACAAGTCAAGGGGAAAACCTTTATCAAATCTGAATAAAAATTGGATCCCATCAAGGATACAATGTATGTACTGAAGTCTTATTTTTCTCTGTCCTTTCCCTGCTACTTACATCTAGTCTAACATTTGGGTAGATGCAAGACTTAGGTGGTGGATTGATTGGAAGAAGTGATGAACAGATATTTTTGGATTTACCTGCTTAATTTGGCAGCATGCTGAGGGATTGTGGTTGGTTCAGTAAGGCATAGGCAAAAGCAAGAGAGTAGTTGGATGCAGGCTGAGGGTGAAAGCAAAGTTTTGCTTTAGGTTCATAGGCCTGGAGATTAGGAAATCCCGTCTTGACTTACTTTCCTCACTGGCTGTAAGAAGGGGGGAAGATACATATTGTAAAGCTAGATTCAGTAATAAAAATACTGTAATGGAAGAAGCTGTGATTTATCTAGAGGGGAAATAGTTTGCTCATGACATCTCAGGCTGGACTGTTAATAAATCTTGCCTTTGTAAGCTTGTATTATTTCAGAATAAAATTCTAAAATTGAGGACCAGACTGCAGCCTATTGGAATCATTAATCATTGCCCCAAACCAGTTTATTTCCTCAGTACTATTGTAAACACTGACTTTTCATGAAGTAGTTTAATATATTTATTAATCCACTGGAATTGATGTTCTTCCTTAGTCTAAGACAAAGAGAGTGGGGTGTAGGAGGGAGTACAGGTTTGCTCTTGTTACTTTGGACATTTGCCACTGAGCAAAGTTTCGCTTTCTTGCTAACTGATAAAAACAATTTTAAAATCCCATATTCCCATATGGATCTGGAAAATGAGGACAGTTGGAGTGGTGGTGCAAACGTGCTGCTTGCTGGAACACTGCTGTGGAACAAAACCTAAAAAACAGAATCCTCATTAAAAATAAATTCACCTCCACAATTTGGTTTAAAAAATAACCCTGGACATTAGAGCTATCCTGATTATTTTCTTTATTCTTGAAAGTATCTCCCTTTAAGCATAAATACTGACCCCAGTGGCTGTGGTGAGATTCCCTCTTGAAGAAAACCAAGTTTTGGAGCTGGTGCAGCTCTTCAAGCTGCCTGTAGCACTTTCTAACATCAAAGAAATTTTAGCATCTTATTACTGAGCCAGTAACAGTACAACATGCCCTGAGTCCCTGCTTCTCCAAAGATGGGGCTTGGAGGGTCTTTCTATGTCTTGAGGTGTAAATCTGGGCTGTACAGCTACTTCAAATGCTCTGTCTCCTTATGGACCCAACTCTGCTGAAATCTGGGTGCCAGCTCTGCTGTGAGCAACACTCTGCTCATCCTGGTTAGCTTGGGGAAGGAGGCACCCAACCCCTGCCTGTCCATAGTGGCAGGAAAACCTCACTTGCCTGAAGAAAGTCTGGGGCTCCTGGATTTGCCATGTGTGGTCAGTAGATGTGATGATGTCCCCACAGAGGCTGGGATCTGTTATGTTCAAAGCTCCAGTGTAACACTAGATTCTTGTTTTCTTCCTCAGTCTAGTAGGTGACACTATCTCACTAAACACACAGTGCTGCTGTGGCTTGGTGATAGACTGTGAAAGCAAATGTCCTTGCAGAGTATTCTTGGGCAGCAGTAAAATATCTGGTTGCAATTTGCTGTCAGCATTAAATGGAGAACATCATTGACAGCATGAGAAAAATGCAACTGCAGAGCTGACTTGGTGTTTTTAGTTCAGGAAATAAGAGGTGCTGTGTTTCATTGCCATCTATTTTTAACATGCAAGAGCTGTGGTATTTAGATGTAAAAAGAGGCATTCTGGAGATTGTTTATGAAAATACAGATGTTCTGTTGTGAAACTTTAACACCAGACTTGTCACATGTGCCCAGAGTCATCGTGGTCAGTGCTGCTTCAAAGCTGCTGTTGCCCAGAGCTGGAGGCACTCTCTGGGGATGTGCTGTGTGTATTTACTGTGTGCCTTTGGTTCCTATGGGTGCTTTTGAACAATGTACTCCTTGATATTTTTGGTGTGGCCATCCTGCTGTGTGCCCATGCCCTGCATGGATTCAGCAGGTTCCCAGCGTGCAGGTTGCTCTCCATAAAGCTCTTGGACATGGGGGGTTTGGGTTGGGGTCAGTTCTGACAGGTAAGGCACATTTCTAAAACCTTCTGCTGCCTCTTCTCTTCCTCAGACCTCAACAGCAATGGGTTCATCTGTGACTACGAGTTGCATGAGCTGTTCAAGGAGGCCAGCCTGCCTCTCCCTGGGTACAAAGTGAGAGAGATCATCCAGAAGCTCATGATCGATGGTGACAAGAATAAAGATGGGAAGATTAGTTTTGAAGAGTTCGTCTATGTAAGTGATATTTCTGAATTGCCAGCAGCCTGGGGTCCCCTTTTAGACAAAGCTAAGGAAGACCATAGAAGAGGTTAAACCTGACTTCTCAGCCACTAACCCTAATCCTAATTTTCTTTTGACAAGCTGATCAATTCTGAGGACTAGCCATGTAAAAATCAGTTCTTTGTACAGGTATTTGTATATGATCAGTCTTTTGTACTGTTATTGACAACCTTTAGATTTGGACAGAGGAGAAATATTGGTTAATTTTTGAACAAAAATCAGCCAACCAAAAAGAACCAATGTGGTTTTCTTATATGACAGCTTCATTGGAGGCCAAAATACTGTTTCCACATGAGGTGACAACTGGAAAAGAAGACTTGCAATGATCCAAGCTTAGAGTATTTACTGGAAGCTATTCAGTTTTTTTTGGGGGGGCACACAGATGAATGCTTGTTTTCCTCGTGTATCAGTATAACTTCCCTTCTCTGTTTAATGGGACTACAAGTATTTGCTAAAGAGTTGAAAGGGCATTTCAAAACACATCTGGGTTTGTGTTAGGTGCTGATCTAGGAAAATTCTAATCTCTTGCCTTGAAAAGGAAGAACAGGAGTAAGGTGATAGAACAAGTTAAAGGATCAGTCTTTTTTAATAGAAATAGGCCAGAATTAAAAAATTTATTTTTACCAAAGTGCAAGACTTCTGAGATAATGGTTCAATGTATGTTCTTCATCCTTTTGATGCTCTGATGACTGAATGCTGAAGGAGTAACTAAAGTATGTGTAGTACATTGAGGGAGCTGTTTTCATGTCAATTCATTTTCTTGATATTTCTTAATTTGTCTTCACTTCTGTTCCTTAATTGTTTTCAGACCCTCTGAACTTTTTGAGTTCGGAGTCAACTAGTAAGTTGGAGTTTGCAGTTTGTAAACACTTTTGCATGCTGGGTGCATGTTTCAGCTGTTGGTTTGAGCTGGTCCATAACTCTTAACTTTGCACTAGGAAGGAGGAAATAAATCTCTTCTGTCACATTTGAAAGGTACCAATGATTGAGTAAAGACAAAATGTCTTAGGGCAGCTGAGGTGTACATGAGCATCAATCCTTAGCTGTATGATTTGTACAAACTGAGCTCTTGCTGTTTTCTAACTGAGCATTTTTGCTGGAGTTTATGCTACAAAGAATGACATGAACTGACTTTACATTGGGACAAAGTGACTTAGTGGTACCTCAGCATTAGAGCACATATTCTCAAGAAGATATGCAATACCAGTAGTTAACGCAGGAAATTTTAAAATAAATAGATCTAAAACAAAATTCCCGTGGTTAGAGCCAACCAACCAGAAATCCCTCAACTTTTGGGCTCTCAGATCTTCAGTCAGCTTTATCTGATCAGCCTCTGCATTCCATCAGGAGATGATTTAACTGCACTGTATCATCATCTTGACTTGACACCTTCCCTGTGTTTAAGGGATGGGGAAGGTAAGGTGTGACAACCATCAGCCTGGCCCTGTAGTGACACCTCTGCAGCCTAGTGTCCTCTCCTTTTAGCAGAAGCACATTGTTGTCCTGATTTGCAATGCTGTTTAATTATCTTTTTCTGGGTAGTGTTTAGAGAACCTGTACACATTTCATTTGTATTTTCTGCTTGCTCGAAACTAATTCAGTTCAGTTTTGAGGGAGTTACAGTAGGCTTTACAGCCACTGAATGTGTTTTTTACTAATAACTGCTCAGTTCTATATGGCCTTGAGGCCACTAACAGTGGCATCCAACCTGTGCAAATGGCATGTGCAGTCTTCCTGTGCTAAAGCATCTATTCTGCCCTCCAGCAGAAGATGTTTTGCCAGTTAGCTGAAGCCTGCTGTTGAGGAAGGGGGAATCTTTACCTGGAGCACTCATTGTTACACTTTATTGCAGATTTGACTTATATGCTTAAAGAGAATTGTTTCTTGTGTTGTGGACAAATTCTTTTGTGTAAACTAAATTCACAGTCTCACGAGCATTTGGCTTACACAGAAAGGTTAAAATTGCACCACAGCTTTCTCAAGTTTGGCCCTGCAGGACCTGCTGCATGTGTTACCTGTGCTCAGTCTGCAAAGGTTTCTTGGGTTTTTCTTGTGGTCTCTTGAAATCTACTTGTAAAGGTAAATATATGCAAGGTACTTCATAATGCCTCTGTTTCAGTAGGCACTTGCAGTGTGTGTTTGAGAAAGTGGGATGACTCTCTGCCCACTGTCCACGTCAGATTTAATACCACTACACTTTTGCTGGGCCCTTCACATTTGCTGATTTTACTGTGAAGTTTGCTTTAAAGCTGAGAAGAAATAGCTCCTTCTGTGGTCCTTTTTTGTTTTATGAAGATGATTTTTCTTGTCTAACAGAGCACTTTAAATTGTAGATTTTTCAAGAGGTGAAAAGCAGCGATATTGCTAAAACATTCCGAAGAGCCATTAACAGGAAGGAAGGAATCTGTGCCATTGGGGGCACCTCAGAGCTCTCCAGCGAGGGGACCCAGCACTCCTACTCAGGTACCACTCTGCTTCCCACTCTTCTCTTGGGTCTTTGGAGATCCTGTGCCAAAACCAGCCCATTTGTACCACCATGCCATGTGCTGTGCTCTAGTTCTGTGAGAGCTGAGCGATCTCATGTCAGGGTGAAAGCAGGACAGAATTTATATGGTGCATATTTAGCAGAGTGTGAGTTAAACATGTTCTTATTTGCTTCATTAACTGTGCTGGCTAATGAAGTCCTTGTGTCACACTTGAGTATGATAAAGTTAAGTAACAAGTAAATAACAGCAATATTCTGATAGTTGTAAGTGAGGGTCTTCTTTCTTTAAACTTTGTGTGACTAATAAAATGTGTGGTAATGATATTGAGGTTGTTATTTCCCTGGGATATTGTTCTCTGCTTCTTTTGGGAAAATCTTTGTTATGAAAAAACCTGTATTAAATTTCCCATTGGTTATCTTAGAGGAAGAGAAATACGCCTTTGTAAACTGGATAAACAAAGCCCTGGAAAATGATCCTGACTGTAGACACGTTATTCCAATGAACCCAAATACAGATGACCTGTTCAAAGCTGTGGGAGATGGGATTGTACTATGGTAAGTGATAATGGCTCTGGAATTAAAAAAAAAAAAAAAAAGTCAAAAATCAGCAAAATACCTTTCCAAAACTGTAGTTAGGGGAATTTTCATCCTATTCTAGGCTGGTTTTGTGACTGGTGTGTGTGCATAACGTTTTGCACATATAAAAAGAGGCTCAGTCTCTCAGACTTTCATTAGCATTGTGTGATGCCTCAGCTTTGGTGCCAGATGATAATTTCATCCAGTGCTTTTGTTTGGGTTTGAGACTGAGTTTGCTGAGGGGGCAGGAGGTGCTTTGTGGGAGCAGGAGATGTCCTGGTGCAAACTCAGCCTGGTGCTGGGTAGCTTGAGGAGGGACACATGTGATAAATAGCCCATTGTCTTGGATGTTTAGGCAGACAGTGTCCTCTGTGGGAATGTTAGTGACCTTATTATGCATTAACCCAAAAATAGATTTTCTGGGAATCTTCTTGTTCTTTTTAATAACTGCACTAACTACATTAGGTGACTTATTCAGTTACATGCTGAGAACAGAAGGTATCCAGGGCTGCTAAATACCAGCAACCTTCTGTATGTGAGATTTTTGTTGGTTTTATGGGTTAGGTTCATTTGTTTTATTGTAAGTGAATTAATATAGTAGAGAACCGCATCAGCCTGGAATTTCAGTAACTCTGTATCAATACACAAAGTAAGTTTGAGTTACCTTTAATTTATTTTATTTTTAAACTTTAGCTTGTGCTGCATATTTTTAGTTTATTTATTTCCCAAGTTTCAAGTAATTCATGGCTTTAGGCAAAGACTGAACTGAGTAGGAAGTAGTTCATAATATAAAGTTTAAATTTGCCATATTTTGTGTTGATTAAAAATTCATTGTGCTCACATGCTCCCCACTGAGCTCTCCAAGTGTTTGTTCTTTTTTGGGACAGATTTTCTTGCCAGCAGTAGTAAACCTTTACAATAGGAGGAAGTTTGTTGTCTTACTAGAATGTGCAGTGGATGTCAGCAGAGCAGTGAGTCTTCACTGGTTCAGGGACTGCACTGTGAATAATTCATGTGCTCTTTTTGCTCCAGCAGCTGAGATCAGTAGTGGCTGGGAACATGTTTAAAGTTTCAGGCTTAGCTATTAGTTACAAATACATTCTTGATAATGTAAATATTAACTTCTGATTTATGCAATCTTGATTTTTATGAAAAAAAATTACACAAAAACAAGCAGGCTAAAGGAAATGTGCTGTGGTGACTGTTGTCACAGTGCATTGAGTTTTGTTCAGATTAAATACTAAATGTTGTTCAAATATCATTGGTTTTCCTCCTAACAGCAAAATGATCAATCTTTCTGTTCCTGACACAATTGATGAAAGAGCAATTAATAAGAAGAAACTCACACCATTCATAATTCAGGTATAAAGCATTTCTGTATTTTATTTTCTGAAATTCATATTAAGATAAAATTAATGAATGTAGCATGGTGGCTCAAGGCATTATTGTGGAATGTTGGAAAGGAGCAAGTTTTATAGCTTCTGTTTAATTATTAAATGCAGTTTTGTACCGTGCATAATTGACAGTTCTGTGGGCATGGTTCAAAAATGCTGCGTTAATGACAAAATGGGTAAAGTGGCTGAAATGTTGTGCACATGTGATATTGCTGTGGTGATTATGTACAGCACTGTCATTTTAAACAATGTGGTTATTGGTGTTGGCTATAAATCATTTCATACTAGGGCAGGCTGTTTTTGTGAGGATGCCTCTGTGTGTGTGTGTGTAAATTAGCACTTCTCTAGCCTTATTCTTGCTGATGCCACTAGATGCAACTAACTCGGTGGCTGAAACTAAATACCAGAGGCTGAAATTAAACCCTGGTGCCTAGTTCAGTTCTTATTGATTCAGCCTGCTGCCACCACAGCTTCCTTAAAATTTCAGCTGGAGAGTGACCAGAGAGTGTTTCCTTTGAGCTGCTGCTGTTGGAGCAAGGACAAGGGGGAAACCTCCACTCTGGTGGTGCTGGATGAAAGGGAAAGCAGCATCTCCCTGGGCTGTGTCTGACTGGGCTTTGCTGTTTGCAGGAGAACCTGAACCTGGCCTTGAATTCTGCATCTGCCATCGGCTGTCATGTTGTCAATATTGGTGCAGAGGACTTGAGGGAAGGGAAGCCCCACCTGGTCCTTGGGCTGCTCTGGCAGATCATCAAGATCGGCTTGTTCGCTGACATCGAGCTCAGCAGAAATGAAGGTAAATTCAATTCTAAGTGATTACTTCTAAAGCATGAACACAGCATTGCTTGTGCTGTCAGCCCCAGCCCTGCCACTGCCTCATCCCTCCCTCCTCTCTGCTGGAAGAAGGATCATCAGGGCATGTGCCAGGCTGAATGTTCTCCAGCCGGTTTGTAGCTGTGCAGCAGGTTCCTGCAGGTGGGTTGTGCCATCCTGGTGATGTGTATCAGCCTTGGAGAACTGGCTGAACACCAGCCTGTAAGTCAAGATGCAGCTTGGCTTGAGCCTGGCAGTGAATGAGCACATTGCTTGGTGATGCCCTAGGCTGCTCCAGCTGCAGGTTCCTAACAGTGTTGGGATGTGGCAAATGCTGCTTGGATCCTTTTAGGATTATAGACAACTGCATTTCTTCCTCAAAAAAAATTTAAAAAGGAGGGCTTCAGCTCTGTGGTAGTTATGTGGTTCTAAAATCCTCCATGCTACTGTCACTGGTACAGCTCAAGCTCTTGCTTTGTCCTTGGTGGTGAGAGACTGATGCTGCAGATCTCTCCCTGTGCTTGCTTAGTCCTGCATGACAGCCTCAAATTTAAACTTTTCAAATCATCTGAAGAACTCTGATATTCCTGCATGTGCTATCAGAGCATCCAGATGGATGGAGGGGCTTCAGTTTCTTCTATTTAGGCTTCCTCATTATGAAGTGTTGACATTGTTCAGCTTAGATTGAAAATTCATGGCAAAGGAAGCACTGGCCAGCTGAAAGGGTGCTTATCTTGGCTTCTCTGGGTTTTTTTAATGGTGCTTATGAAACTGCTTGGAAGCATTTTTCGTTGAGATAGAAGTGCATTTGCATTTAGCTTCCTGTCATCGGCTTAAAAGACTGCACATAAAGTCCAAAGAATTTTGTTATATTTCTGTTTTTTTTGTTATAAGAAAAGGGAAAATACTTTTTACACATATTTTTCTAGATAATTTATACTCCTCTCTGTGTAACAACCACCTCGGGAAAACTGTGCTAATACCCAGAATATTTTGACATAATCAGTAGTTAGTATTGTACCACCCTGAAATCTTGCTGCAGCTTGAATTCTAGCACGCAGGTTTGACTATTCCCTCACAATCTTTTTTCTTGTAGCACTTGCTGCCTTACTTCGTGATGGTGAAAATCTGGAAGACCTTATGAAATTATCCCCAGAAGAGCTGCTCCTAAGATGGGCCAACTACCACCTGGAAAACGCAGGCTGGCACAAAATCAGTAACTTCAGCTCAGATATCAAGGTACCAAAGCTCTCCTGATTTGCAGTGCTTGCGAAAAGACTGAGAGCTGGACAGAGATGGGTTTCCATATGTAAATGAGGCTTTTCATCCTCAGGCAGGACCTTTCTTGACCCTAATACAACAAGTGGTCTTACCAGGGGAGTTTTGGATGTTGTATTTGAGGTCCTGCCGTGCTGTTCTCTCTTGCCATGAGAATGAGCCCAGTGTTGAACTGTCTGTTTCCTCCAGTGCTGGTGTTGTGTGTTTTTAATCAGCTATGAAACTGGCATTACTTTAATGTTTTCAAATGTCCTTAATCCATGTTTTGATGGAGATAACGGGAAAATACTTCACTGGAGAGTGACTTCCTCATACTCTTGGCAGGTGATGGCATTTCATCTAAAATATCGTGGGCTGGAGAGAGGAAGGGAAGCAAGACCTCTTATTCTTCACACTGGGTTTAGCAGGAATGGGAGTGGGGACTCTTAAAGCTGATTTTCACATATGAATGGGGACACTGGTGAGAAATGGAGGATGGTGACTCTGGGTCAGTGTGTGGCATCTGGACACTGGTCTCAGCAGTTTTCTGAAGCTTATTCACATGGCCAGCAGTTTCAAGTAGGAGAAAGAAGTTTGAGATTAAAAAAAGAAAAATTATAATTGAAGTGTATGGGGAGCATAGATGTGATCTGTTGTGTGCATGTGTGTATGTATGGTCATTCTTATTTCCAACTTCAAAATTACCTACAGTTTTGCTGATAGCTGTTGGCTTCTCTGGTGCATCCCCTGGGCTGCAATGATATGCTGAGGTCCTCCTTAGTGCTGAGGACTAAAAGGACAGGTAGTTGATAAATAATCACTACAGCTATTGGCTCCTCCTGGTTTGTGACCATCCCTGGCCTCTCTCCTCTAAGCTGTTCTAGGTAATGTGCAGGCAGAGAAGAAAACATTCAGACATCCTATAATCAGCTTTTTGCTTGGAATTTGTCTTCTCTGAGCCATTTTCATCATTGCTGTGGCAGTAGGAATGGCTGCCTTGTTTAGAGGTTAGGGCTGCCTTGGGGCATCTGGGGGCCGTGAGTGTGAGCAGCATGGGGTCATTGCCTCCTCCAGCCACTGCAGACATGACTGTGACACCAGAGCTTGTAGCAAACAGTCAAACCTCGTAATTGTCATCTTAAATATTTCTAACCTTTTCCCTTTGTTTCCTTTCCTGCTGCCTGGATTTCTACCATTGTGCTCTCTTTTAAGCTTACAGATTTTGGCAATTCAGTAAAGGTACATAAGCCAATTATGCACGGTGACTTGTTAAAAATGAGCCTGAAATGAATTGTTATGGTGTATTCACTGCTGTGCAGGAGAGCTGAATTTTCTTTTTTATTCATTTCAGGATTCCAGAGCCTATTTCCACCTCCTCAATCAAATTGCACCCAAAGGGCAGAAAGAAGGAGAGCCTCAGATTGATATTAACATGTCGGGTTTCAATGTAAGTATTCAGGCTGTCATGTCCTCATCCTGTAGAATCATGAACTGCCTGTACCCTGTCATTGCCCCATGGCATCTGGGTAACCTGGTATCTTAGTTTCTAGAGCGTGGTCATGTGTCAGTGTCAGTGGCCATGTTCACACCTCGGGTGTGTGCTCAATGAGTGCTTGCTGCCAGCCTGGTCACTACCCCCCAATTAACAGAGATGATTGAGAAATCCTTTATGGGCTTGCTCCATTCGGGAGCATATTGACTTACTTTGAACCACCAGGTTCCAAAAGCATTAAAATTTGACAGCATGTGAGCTTGGAAAGCACCATGCTAAAAAAAATAGCAAGACAAGCTGTGGTTACTGTGCTGAAAAGAGAGAGAAAGGACAGCAACACACACGGACCTCTTTGGGGAAAAAAGGCCAACTTTATTGTATGGACAGCCCATATTTAAAGTGTGTTATGTGCAGCTAGGACAGGACAGTAGTTCATTGGACAATTGGGAAAAACATCCTTGGGACTGTACCTCAGGATGTATCCCACGGGAAAGACACCAGGTGTTAATCTTTATTATGAATTCCACTCTGTTTTTCACCATGTTATCACTCTGGGAGACTGCCTCCCTAACTGAAGCTGTAGTCAGCTTATCAGCCTGGGAATGGACTTGAGAGTCAAGAGACATCCAGGCCTGAAAAGAATTTCCAAGCTGTAATTCCCTAACTCTCTAAATGTGTGTGCCCACAACAAGCCATGACAGTGGCACAGCAGCAGGAGTTGGTGTGTGTGCCTCACCCAGTTAGTGACTGATGCCAAACGTGGACTTTCTGTCCAGATCTGGACATTGCTCTACATGGTCAGGAGGTTCCCATGTGCTTTGTAGCCAGCGTGTTCCATGGCAGCTCTTGTGCATTGATCCCTGGCAGGAGAAGGATGACCTGCGCAGGGCAGAGTACATGCTGCAGCAGGCGGATCGCCTCGGCTGCCGGCAGTTCGTCACACCCGCTGATGTGGTCAGTGGCAACCCCAAACTGAACCTGGCCTTCGTTGCCAACCTGTTCAACAAGTACCCAGCACTTACCAAGCCTGAAAACCAGGACATCGACTGGACCCTTTTGGAAGGTGATGACCATATCAATTACAAAATTAGCATGGGGGGGATTATCTGAAATAAAGAGTTGTGTCACTGGAGGCTGTGCCCTGCAGGGGTATCTCTGTTGAAGTAACACCTATGATTTGAGGCTTCAGTGCTGCAGTGGTTGTTTATTCATTTGAGGCAGATGAGAAGGGCACTTGGCACCCTGTTCAACTTCTCTGACCCTGTTGTGGAGCCTGAACATGTAGGTACACTGCCTGTCATTCACCATGCTGGGGAATTTGGTTTTGCCATTTCCTGTGATGGGCAAGAAAACCTCAGAAATGCAGTGAGATATTAATGAGAGCACTAATTATTGGCACAACTGGGACTGGGCTGTGACAGCAATTAGCTAACACCCATGTGAAAGACCTTTCTGCTCCTTTTTTTTGCAGAAAGTGCAACAGGCTCTTCTGAGGCCTGAGGAAATCAAAATGATATCCAAGATATAGATAGCAGGGTCACCTTCTTTTTGAAAAAATCTATAGTAGAAAAAAACACTCTTTCTCTGCTCAAAACCTCCTGGTGAGCTCTGCTGCTCAAAGCTCCCTGCCTTGCAAGGTGGAAATCCCTGCTCAGCTTTGAACTTGCAGAATTTGCAGTGAGCCTGTTTTCCATCCTGTAGGAGAGACGCGTGAGGAACGGACCTTCCGCAACTGGATGAACTCCCTTGGTGTGAACCCCCACGTAAATCACCTCTATGGGTAAGCTTTGGGCTCTTGGGAGACCCAGCTTTTTTTTTTTTCTTTTTAGGGTTTTTGTTGAAGTTGCAACCACCTGTAAAGAATAGTAATTATTTGTGATGTGATAAAGAGTGCAGTCAAATCCCGAAACATTAGACTTAATCCATGTTTTCCACTTTAGTGATCTCCAAGATGCACTGGTTATACTACAATTATATGAAAAGATCAAAGTTCCTGTTGACTGGAATAAGGTTAACAAGCCTCCATACCCTAAACTTGGAGCAAATATGAAAAAGGTAAACATGACAAAAGACTTTAAAGGAAGCCATGGACACTAGAAATTCCTGTTCAAGGCTTCCAGTCAAGTGAGTGTGTTTGTGAGTGATTTTTGTGTTTAAACTCTTGTCCTGTGTAGCTGGAAAACTGTAACTACGCTGTAGACTTGGGAAAGCATCCAGCTAAATTCTCCCTGGTTGGCATTGGAGGGCAAGACCTGAATGATGGAAACCCAACGCTGACACTGGCCTTAGTCTGGCAGTTGATGAGAAGGTAGGACTCCTCTCAAACATGTGAAACCTGTGAACAGAGTACAGAATTTGAGAAGTTTCTTCCATGAGAGTATTGCAGCACCTGGAATGGGTAACCCAGAATGATTGTAAAACCTCTGTCCTCTGGGAGGTGTCTGAAACACACTGGACAAAACTGTGATAGACCTGCACATGAGAGGCTGGAGCAGACACCTCTGGACAGGCTGTTGGTCATTCTGTGTCAAGGATCACTTCTCTTTCACCTGCTCAAGTCTGGTCCACAAGCAGAAACCCTGAGTAGGAATATTACACAACTATGTTCTGATTTTTAATTGGAAATTGAGAGGGAAACATACTGGGACTGCTTCATAGCCCTCTTTTTTGTGTTGGAATGGAGGAAAGAGGAAACTTAAAAACAGATAAAGTTGATCTTCTGTTACCCAGTTCTGAAGAATTGTAAGATTATGCCAATATGTGTCTGAAAAAAGGTGCGTGGTAGCTCCTAATTTGACATTAGAGGTATGAATGCCAACTCCTGAAGTAATCCACGCCTTTTAGGGAATGTGTTACCCCTATGGAGCAAATGCTCAATGATCAAACAGTTTAACAAGTGTCCTGAGCCCAGGCAATTTTGTGAGCTCTTATTAAAGGACATGAAATGCTAGAAAGACTAAATGCTTTAACAGAAATAACACTCCAGATAAGATACATGGTTCTTTCTTTTTGCTAAAGGAGTTTGAAAAACCCCCAAGTCCTGAAACTATGTAAAGACTTTCCAAGCTTCTGTGGCTCATGTTGCATCCTGGCTGCATGGCTTGGTCCTGGCTCTGTGCCTAATCTTGTTCTCTCTGCTGGTTCTCAGGTACACACTGAATGTCCTCGAGGACCTGGGTGATGGTCAGAAAGCCAATGATGACATTATAGTCAGCTGGGTAAACCAGACCCTGAAAGAAGCTGGCAAGTCCACCTCCATCCAGAACTTCAAGGTGCAGGTTCCCTTCTTGCCTACAAAAGGAGACGAGTGCCCAAATTTTTTTTCCTCAGCTGGAGGAACAGCAGGGGCATCTTATAAAGGAGTTTAAATAGGACAAGATTCAGTCTGTGCTGGTAACAGAGTGGCTTCGAGCTACACGATAGGAGACTGTCTAGGACTTCCACAGTGGGGAATAGTGGCAGAGGAGGGAGGGAGGGAGGGTGGTCAGGATCTAGGGCAGAGAGGGAAGTTGAGATGCTGGCAAGCAAAGGGGCTGGAGCTGGTGTGCATTTGTAGGTGAGCATTGTGCCTTGGGCTGTGCTCAGCAGGGCAGAGCTGCTGCCTGCACAATGATTACTTCTTTGGATTTCCAGAGCACTTGCAGTAAATTGGAGTAATAGTATTGTCACCAAAGCTGAGGCAGCAGTTTGGTTTTCCCTCTGGTCCACCTGGGAATAGTCACTAACACTGCTGCTTGGAAAAGGCTCTTTTCAAACTTCTTTGGTTGCACGTTGCAGAGCAGCTGAATTGAGGTGAGAATCACTTGTGTGTCCCTGTATTCTCTAGGACAAGACTATCAGCACGAGCTTGGCAGTTGTGGATTTAATCGATGCCATCCAGCCTGGTTGTATCAACTATGACCTAGTAAAGACTGGGCACCTATCTGAAGATGACAAACAAAATAACGCTAAGTAAGTTTGCTCTCTCAAAAGCTGTTTTGCATTGAAAGGGTGCACATTCGATGTGCTAGCCTCAAACTGCAGGTGTTTTGACCACACTCTATTGCTGTGGTTTTCAGTCTCTTAGCACTTTTTACACAGACAGCACTTACTGAAATCAAGTTGCTGTCCTTGCCTGTGACACTGGAGGGAGCAGTTGACTGAACTCTGGCTTGCTGAGAGAAATGCAGAGCAGCTCTCACCAGTGATACTCTTATTTCTCACCTCTGTTCAGGCATTTGAAGTGTTCAGCTGGTGGCTCAGAGTTTTGAAATTGAACCCTTGTATGTCTTACCTCTTGTTGAATCATCACAGATTGTCAAGTTTAAAGTATGCCTATTAGAACATGCCTTTGAAATGTGTTTTCTGTGACTGTTCTGCAGTGGCAGAATGACAGCAAAGTTTCTGGCAGATGATCATCTCACTTTGTTATTCATAAGGAGCAAACAGAAAAGGAAGTGTTACATGATTAATCCTTCATTATATATGCTATTAGCCATAACAAATATTAATTAAGATTCTTTTTTAACTGTCAGTAAAGTGGACTTGACATTCAAAGGTCAATTTGCACATTAAAAACACTTTACTGTGGAAAAGGAAAATGGCAGAAGATGAGAAAAACTTGTAAAATAAAAGGATGTGGTGTAATTAAACTGTTCCACATCTTGAATCTCAATAAAGAATAGGTGAAATCGTGTTGGATGGGGCAGGATTTGACTTGTCATTTACTGGTAGAAGTCTCTGTGCTGACCACCTCATCTTTCCATGGTGAATAGGTATGCTGTGTCCATGGCAAGAAGAATTGGTGCCAGAGTTTATGCTCTTCCAGAAGATCTCGTGGAGGTGAAGCCAAAGATGGTCATGACCGTGTTTGCCTGCTTGATGGGCAGAGGAATGAAGCGAGTATAAAAGGGATGATCCATGTAAAGAAAAAAAAAAACAAAATGCAACAAAAACCCAACCTGCCACCCTGGGTGCATGAGTAGCAGATCGGCTGTGACCATGTTGAAATGCTGTTGGCCTTGGAACTGTTGAAGTTCAAAGGACTTTGTTTTGCTTTGCAAGACAAATTTATCAAAATTCTCAGGGGGAGGAGTTTTAACCAACAGACATGCTCTTTTCCCAAAGGAAAGTTTAACTTATCAAGAGCTCACAGAAATGCATTCATAGCAGACCTGCATCTTGCAATATTGCTCTGGAGCTGTTTTCACTCCATTATTTCTCAGATACTTGACGTGTGGTTTTTTACCCTTGAGGGCTATAAGGTGGTTGGTATGAGTTGTAATGGAAACAAATCTAATTTCTATCTGCAGTCCACTTTAATTTCTGTCATACAGTCCAAGCACATTTTAGGTTTGACCACATCCTTAATTTTGCAAATAAAGCTACAGTACAAGTTGGGACCTGCAGGCCAGCTCGCAATGCTAAATGAGAAACGTGTAATTAGGAAGATGTACTTCCTCTGGTATTCTTTGTACATGGTGCTTTTTTGTACATCTAACTATTTTGATTACTTTACAAATAAAGCATGGCAGTTTTTTCTCTTGCTGCTTATAAAAAGGGGGTTTTTTGTTGGTTTGTTTTTTAAGGTTATACTACATATTATATAATACCACCATCCTTGGACCTCTTGCAGTAACATATGATCATGTTGCTGATGGCACGGTTACACCTGAGAGTGGAAGTGAATGCATTTTTGTATGCATCTTGGTTCAGTTCTGTGCACCTAGAAAATAATTTTTACAGAAATCTGCATGAAAACTATAACTTTTTTATTTAAAATGCTGTTAGATACAAAACCATACTATATTGTGGAGAGGTTTTGTGCAGGGAAGAGGCAAATGGTATAAACAGCAGGGTTCAATAAAGTGAACAGCAAATGTGCTGGAATATAAAATTATTTTTACAGATAAATGGAAGGAAGCATTGTCGCCAAAGAAGGAAGATGCTGTATCCATAGGATTTAATATTCTCTTGCTTTGGCAAGCTGTTTGCTATATTTTGAGATCATATTGCTATTCCAAGCTATTCAAAGTGATGTAATATGGTGGCAAAGCATTAGTTGAAATAAAAACATTTAAATACATGCTTCTCTCCTTATTTGCACAGACCCAGCATGGCAGCCTGTCTTCAGCAGCTCGTGCTCTGGGCTCCAGTGCCACACACAATCTTTCTTCATCTTCAATGGCCTGATGTAAATCTGACACTAGGTCCTTCAGAGCATGTGGACGGGTTGGTGCTGCTGGGAGCACAGCAGGAAAAAGTCCCTTAAAAGTAAAGTTTGTTTGAAGCTTCTGTATTGTTGTGCCTTGGGGGCTTCAGAGGTTAACATTTGTATGAGGGTTAATTGAGTGATAATTTTTCTATGTGCAAGAGATGAAAAAAGGGCAGATGATGAAAAGGAGGGATTTGGCAGGGAGCTGAAGAGGGGCTGGGGCACGTGGGGGGAGATGAGCAGGAGCCCTGCCTGCTGCAGGGGTGAGGGCAGGGGCTGCAGTGGCACCAGCTGGGAGTGCTCCCTGCTCTGAGTGTGGAGTGTCAGCAAACCACCCCAGTGACTCCCTGCATGCAGCCTTGTGCAAAGCTGGCTGGAAACTTTCCAGTGGTACAATTTTTTTTCACAAGAAAAGTATGTTAACAAAGCTTCCCACAGGAAATTGCATGTTTTCACTCAAGATGGAGTGATGTACCATAAGTAGAGTCACAGGCATGCCACTGAAACAGTGTTCTGGTGATTTATGGCACTGGCTGGGGGCGTGGTGTAGTTAAGGCCAAAATTCTTGGACTTTGGAAGTGGCCATGTGCATCTGTCTCCTGTCTTGCCTTTTTTGCCTCCTGGTACCAGGTTGAAGAAGATAAATGGGTACTTTAACAATTAGATGTATTTTAAGAAAGAAAAGTTTGGGATCCAAGCAAGGTGGACCTCACACTGAAGGTCCAGAGCAGGGCAGTCAGGACAAACCCAGTGCTTTCTCTCCAGTAAATATTCTTAACAAGCAGGTTTTCAAATAGTTTGTTTTGTCAAACAACTAAAATTTTCATCAGAGGATGTAAACTTCAGGACATTTCCTTCTTCCTTCAACTCTTTTTTTCTTTTAATATTATTTATTAGTATTTATACTTTGTTTTGCTTCTTCAATTATGTGCTTTTTGTTTCCAAGGTTTTTTAGCAGTGTCAGCTTTGTTCATAATGATTTTTTTAAAAACATCTGGACTTGCTGCTGCCCTTGTGGGTGCATGTTGTCCTTATCCTTAATCTTAAGGTCCTCCTTCAAAGTCTTCACAAGCCCAGATGGCCTCCTCACTTTTCTGCTTGTGTTTTCTGGCCTCTTGTATTCCTTGCAAGTTTCATTTTTTGTGGATTAAAAATGTAGCCACGTGTTCTCCCTGAACAAACTGTGTATAACTTGTTAAATATTTCTGACTTTTTATCATAGCACAGAGGAAGCAATTTAGTTGTGCTCCTGTTACTGTTTAATGAGGTGGTGGTGTAAAAGTGGAAGGAATGTTTTTTTCAAAGCGTTCAGAGAAGATTCTTGTCCATATAAATTTTTCATCAATTTGTATTAACTCAAAGGAAAAAAATCTAAATCTTTTAGGGACTTAAGAAATTGCTGAGGTGGACTTTGCTCGCTTTTTTTGCTTCTGCCTTTTTCTATTGCAGCTTGATAGAGAGGAATGCAAAAGCAAGAAACCAGCTGGAGTTTTTTTCCACTACTTCTCAAAGTATGTGAAGCTGAGTAAAGTGAGGATGGTGAAACAGCACAAATAATGTAAGCAAAAATTTATGTTGACCATTAAATACTTTGCACAAACCTAATCACAAATATAACAAGGATGCAGCATGTGTGGGTTTGTTGTGAAGCCCCACTTCGTCCCTTCCCTGGTCTAACAGCAAAGGTTGGTCCTGCTCTGCACTCCATGGCAGGTTTCCCATGTCAAATTGTGCTGATTTGTGTGTTTTCAGCCCTAAACAAGGGTTTATTTCTCTCTTACCTCTTATCAGCTTGGGATAATTTCTCTAAGGACAGGGACAAATGTGGTGTGTCTGGCACACATTCCATTGCTTCCTTTTGCAAGCACCTAGTAAACATTGGATAAGGGTTTTTAATATACCTGCACTAATGGAAAATTCCGTTTGGGAGGACGGAGAAGGCTGATCTGTCTCCCAGCAGCTGAAGGGAGGCAGACTGGGGATATGGCACTGGAACTGTGCTGTGACAGAGCTCCTTGATAGCATGCAGGGAGACACAACTTGTACAGACCATCACTGAGACAAATGACCTCTTTGCAGGGGTAAATGCAGAGCCATGTTAGCTGAGGTTCAGTGCTGTGAGGGACAGCTGAGTGATAAAATGTTTTACATGGTGGTTTATTGCCCTCACCTCCAACACTGTCTTACATTCTAACTGCAGAGTTGCTCAAGTGCCTGCTGTGGGAAGGTACCACATGCTCACAATGACACTGACGGACTGGGCCTTTTCTAAGGACTCCAGATACACTGGAGCATGTGCAATTTATTCCTATTTCAGCAATACTCATGATATGGCCAGTATGGGCTGGGCACAGGAAGGGCAGCCCCTCCCAGGGAGGTCACACCTGGCTGTGGTCAGTTGGGAAATGGGGAGGACAGAGGGGAACATGCTTCCCAGCCCCATGTCACCAGCACATGTCCCAGCCCTGAACTTGTCAATGTGAGCATTGCATTGAAATTCACAGAATTCACAGAATGACTGGGTTGGAAGAGACCTTCAAGATCCAAACCATGCCCTAACACCTCAACTAGACCGTGGCACCAAGTGCCACATCCAGTCTTTTTTTAAACACATCCAGGGATGGTGACTCCACCACCTCCCTGGACAGACCATTCCAGTACATGATCACTCTTTCCATGAAAAACTTTTTCCTAATATCCAACCTAATTTTCCCTTGATGCAAAGTTTGATGTTAGCATTTCAATTTAGAGTATTGCCCATGAATGAAATAGTTTATTCCTATATAATAAAATCCCTTTATTTCCATATAAAATCCGCCATGAGAACCATTGTTCATAAACAAACTTCAAGAAAATAAGTAAGTAGCCTCCACTCTATGATCATTGAAACGTGGCCACCACGGTGCCCCATCCCCTCTCACTGTACCACGTGTGGCAGGCAAGTGCCAGCAGGATGAGCTGGCCGGGCAGAGCAGGGGGCCTGGGAGCCACGCTGGTACCAGCCAGCCTGCACTTGTCCTCGCTGGCCAGCTCCAGTGGCACCGTGCAGTCCCCCAGGGGGGCAGGCCGGGGCTGCCCAGGTGCTGTAGAGTTGGGAGGGTGCAGGAAGGCACAGTCCAGCCCCTCGATGGCCACCCGGCCCGAGGTCCAGCGCCAGAGCCAGAGCGTGCTGCAGTCACAGCTCCAGGGGTTGTGGGACAGCAACACCAGCCTCAGTTTGGGCAGTTTGGTGAACAAGTGCATGGGCAGGGAGCTGAGGTTGTTTCTGCTCAGGTGAAGGAAGTGCAGCTTGTTTAGGTATAAAAAAGCAGAGTCCGAGATGGAGGAGATCTGGTTGTTGTTCAAGTACAAGTTTCTCAAGTTGAGCAGCTGTCTGAAGGTGCAGTCGACAGCAGTGATTCTGTTGGCTTCAAGGTGCATGGTCTTGAGCTGGATCAATCCTTCAAAAAGCTGATTAGGCAGATCAGTGATGAAGTTGTGTCCTAAATTTAACATGCCCAATCTGAGAAGCTTTGCGAAAGCTCCGTTTTGAATGATCCATATCCGATTCTTCCTGAGATTCAGATCGTACAGGGTTTCCAGGTCCTTCAGGGAATCTCTGCCGATGGCTTCTATGTGATTGTCCTCCAGGGACAGCCTCGTGAGGTTGGAGAGGTTCTTAAAGGCTTGTGGGACATACCTCATGTTATTGGAGGCTAAATCAAGCCTTTCTAAAGAAGGCAAGTGTGAAAATAGAAGTGGGTGGATTTCGAAGATATTGCAGTGGGACAAATCCAGGCTGATGAGGTTTAATAGTCCTCTGAAAGTGTTTGCATGCAGGTAGGTGAGGCGTGAGTTCCTGCTGAGGTGCAGCTCTTGCAGCCTGCTGAGGGCATGGAAAGCTCCTGGGGTCAGGAAAGTCAGATTGTTCCCATCTAGCCAGAGGCTGTGAAGGAAAGTCAGATTTCTGAAGGTGTTGGTGTTGAGAATCCGCAAATAATTGTTGGAGAGGTTTAGAGAGATGGTGGATGCTGCTATTTCTCCAGGTAGGGTTTTCAGTCCAGCTCTCTGGCAGAGTGTGGTTTCTTCAGGTGTACATTTACACATGCTTGGGCATGAATTGGAGACATTCAGACTCAGCCCACCCTTTGCTGCACAAGTAAATATAAATATAACGAGAAAGAACATGACCAGCCACACATCAGCCACAGCATCTAATACCTTGATGTTTAGTAGAGAAGGAGGCAAGAAAAAGAACGTGTACCTTTTGGGCAGGTGAACCACGGGCATGGCAGGGTTGGTTGGACTGTGCCCCGATGGTGAAAATAAATCAGCTGGTTCTTCCTGCTGCAGCCCTGTGGGGATTAAGTGTTTAGACACGTCAGAGCTGATTAAGCGTTGCCCTGAGAGGCAGGGAGACTTCTCAGCCCAGCATCATACTCTGATAGTGGTTTTTCCCACCTCCTGCCCTTTGCAAACAGCAACAGGTAACAGACTTCCCCTGGCACCTGTCTGGGACAGGCTCCTGCTCCTGCTCATTCTCAGAGTCTGCTTGGCAGTTGGCGCAAAAAAACTGTTCTGGGAGGAGTTTTAGTGATTTTCTCCAGCTAGAGCTTCAGCAAAGGCAGTGTAAGGTGACTCTGCCATCCAGGTATGAGGTGAGGACTCTCACCCCAGCGTGGCTGCACACACTGACACGTGCCCTGAGCTCAGGCTCGGGGAAATGCAGCTGTGACCAAGCCCTGAGCACAGCCTTGGTGATGGCTGTGACTCCTCTGCAGTAAAATGGGAGACTGCCAGGAGCTGTGCAAGCTTCATGTTCTCTGACAGCTGGGAAAGCACAGGGGAGTGCTGTGTCCTGGCAGTGCCTCTTCTGGGAATAAGCCCTGAGC